CAAAAAGTGAAAAATTTAAGGGGGTCTGAATACTTTCCATACCCACTGTATCTATGATTGATAATGAGTGTGATGCTCCCCAAATGGCGCCTTTACCCAAAATTCAACACAGCGTGACAGCTTCACATTCTTTATGAGGAATAGGCTATAGCCTACTATATACAGTAGGCAGGACCATATTGCTTGAAGAAAATGCCCAAAATACTGTATATATAATAATATCAATGTATGTCTTAAATATACTGTGTGTGTGTGTGTGTGTGTGTGTGTGTGTGTATATATATATGAGAGAGAGACATGCATAGTCCACAGCCATGCTGTGAGGCTGTACATAGAAGTACTGAGTTAAGTGCTAACATATTCACAATGATAATGCTAACATGCTAATGTTGAGCAGATATAATTTTTAGCATGAATGCCAATTAAGTTTAAATTTAGCATATTAGCATGCTAGCATTTGCATCAAATGCTATTAACTGCTGAGGCCCATGGGAAGTTCATGTTTCAATTCTGACCTGATGGTGAAATGTGATCAAATGAAAGGGGGTCACAAAAATTAGATGAAGTCATTAAGATGTATCCTCAGGGCACCCATGAATAAAAGTGCAGGGCAGACCTAACAATTACAATGTTGAAAAGGTGAGTCTGTGTTACTGAGTCACAAATGCTACAAAGGGTATTAAGAGAAAATGATAAATGATGATGTGGTGGTGGCTTTTGGCCCCTACATCCAGAACCGAGTATTATTGTATGCATTTTCACTGAAAAACCAGGCCCTCTATTCTTCCAGAGGACCCACAATCCCTTGCTGCGGCCCTGTCAGGCCTGCCTGTGTCATTCTGGGTTTCCAGCCAGTCCAGTCTGTCACCAAGGCCAGGAGACCAATGAAATACACAGGTCTGCTGACAGCTGGAGCTCCACTTTGTGTCCACGGAGGAGACAACAGACGCGTCATACACGATGCCAGAGAGACGATTAAAATAAAACATCACTTTCAAGTTATGGCCCACAATGCTGCACAGGTATGCCCCCCCACCCCTTCTCTTTCTCTCTCTCTCCCCGAATAAAACCGACGGTTTCCGCGGATGTGCGAGCTGCCTCTTTGCAAGCAGCCATAACTGGGATTATTCAGGAATAATTCGCCTAATCCATCCGAGATGGCTTTGATTTTTATTTAAACATCTACATATAAATCGTGATTTCGACAGCGTTTGCGATTTGAATTTCCTTGTGACATCGCTGGGTTTGTCACAAATAGAATTTGTTCTGTCATGGAGGCTTTTATTGTGGACTGTAAGATGTAGTCCACCTTCGCTGGACAGCAAAACAAAGACTGCATATTAACAGTTCGGGGTAAATAAATACATCGTCTGTTTGTTGTTGTGTTTTTTTGTTTTTTGTTGTTTTTTTTGCACTGAATGATGGAAGACATAGACGTATCGAGGCGGTTTTCTGTGTGGACTAATTGTTCTGGTGCTACCACCCAATATACATACCAAGACGATTCATGTAGGGGGATGCGCGATGTTTTTTCCTCTCTAACGTTTGTGGGTGGGTTATTATAAGCATTGAAAATCTGACATCATTTGGATATATGAACAGAACAAGATGTTTTTAGCGCGTCTGTTCTCTGCAAAACCATCTTCGACGTGATGCAACATAAAATCTGTTTCTCGGATGATATTCAGACACAGACCAAATGGACACATCCCTCTCTGTGAAACTAAAAAGGGAGGCAGTGGTTTTTTTTTATTTTTTTATACATCTTTCTTAAATGTGGCTTAACAGCAGAGTCCTCACCCTGGATGGTTTGATCAGCTGCTGATTATTAGATAACACCTGTCGTATTGTGTTTATTCTGTGTTGCTCAGTTCGATGGATTTATGCATAACAGGTGTTGTTTGAGCCTGAGATCACAGCACGAGCATGAGGCGTGATTATGTGTTTTTGTCTCGGTTTAACAAACAGTGAAACACGGCGAGTGGAACCTTTTTATTAATTTTGTTCTTTTTTTTTTTACCGTGGCAGATGAACAGATACCCCCCAAAAAAATCAAAGGATGAAAGGTAGGTTATCATCTCTCTCTCTCTCTCTTCCCCTCTCGCTCTCTCACGCACACACACACGCACGCAAAAACACAGCAGAGGTGATTTTGACACCTGTTCATCTGTTTTTCACTCCAGCCTGTTTCAGGCCTAGCTGACACGGCATCTATCATCAGGTGATCATCCTGATGATGATCATCCGTCGTCCATCAGGTGCGATTATATTCGTAGGGGCTGTGTGTGTGTGTGTGTGTGTGTGTGTGTGTGTGTGTGTGTGTGTGTGTGTGAAGGGGGGGGATATGCGTACAGTTACAGCAAATCATGGCCTACATACACAGGCACCCCCTCCCCCCACAGACTAGCACAGCTAACGTTTTATTATCACCTGATGGCCGGTTTTTAGCAGATGCTGCGTTTCAGAATTAAAAAAAAAATGTATTTTCATGTTTTTAATGATGCCTTTGATCAAGACTGATTAATCCTTTGGCATCCTGATGGCCACAGTGATCAGCTTCTATCATTGAGTAAAATTCCACACTTCACACAGGCCTACGGTAAAAACCAAATGGCTGCTTGCTCTGCTGTTATATCCTTATATTTGCTATATGCTGTGAATGGGACAGATTACACTCGGCTGTCGCGCACACACACGAACAGGGTGGCAGAGAGAAAGTATAAAATGTTCTTTGCTCGTTTACAACACCTCTCTTTCTTGGACATGCCTAGTGTTGGTTGTACTGTGTCTGCTCCACTCCCCCCGTACACCCCCATGCATTCACTCAAACACCCACACTTGCACAAAGTATGGGAGCTGTTGTATCTTAGCAACGGGCAAGGTAATTATTGAGAGAGCCAAGGAGCTGGCATGCTGTAGAGCTGCCGATCCGATCCCAGCCTTATAGAAGCAGGAAGGCAGAGATTTCCACTGTGTTGACCAACACAGCTCTTCTATATTCATGATGTTAAACGTTATGTTTTAGACCTGACATGCACTATCAGACATCTTATTTTTTGTTCTTCAAAATGTGTATCTCTGTTCACAGGTGGTGAGTTTGTGGACAAAGAGGAAAGATGAGTC